GTTCTTTCGTTATTTATCGACCTAAAAATCTTATAAAATGCCGATCTCTATTAGAAAAAAATAGTCTCTATAGAACGATATCGATGAACAGCAATCAGTAAGTTAACAAAAAAATATATTTTATTACGTTACTATATAGAGCCTTAAACTATTGTAAAACATGTGTAGGTTTAGAAGATACCGTGTTTATTGAACGAAACATTTTTATAAGAGAAGAGAGAAAACATCGAAGCCCATAGACATCCACAGAAGAACTACAGATGCGTTGCCTGCCTTTAGGAAACTAATTACGCTCGCGTCTTGTATTTTAAGTAGTTTTAAGCTATTAATATAATTGTAAATAGCAATATTAACACTGAACTAGTAGTCCCGCTAGGATCACGCGCCATAATCAATCTTTCTAATGACATTGACAGCCGTCAGTTATAGATGTGACGTTTATGACAATATACTAGTGTTGCGCCAATTCCACAGCGCGGTACTTTCTTCTTAACAGCAGTAGTATTTTTGAAATACTGCAGCATTCAGACCTTTCCACGTAGCTGTGGGAGAGAGATGATCAATTAAAAACATTATACTCGTATTAACTTAACTGAGCTTTAATTTTTTTCATGTATATGTTTATAGTGCTTACTGAAGATGCGACATTGAAATCTTCACAAGAAAACATTAAATAATATTAACAATTCTTTATAAATATACGTAAGCATAGATCAATATGAAGATATACGAAATTATATGTAATAACTACAAAACATCATTAATATATGTCAAATTAAAATCTCGTATTAACTCCGATCGAAACTCATTCAAACAGTATTCAACTGCAGTTTCGGTAGATTAATCCAGGCCACAGTGTAGGGACACAGCGCTACTACTTCAATATTTTTTTAGTTGTACGTATATTTATTTACATAACTATCAAAAAGTTTAATTGAATGTTAGAAAATTAAACCAAAAGTAAACACATTTTTCTTTGGAACAAAAATTTCAATATTTATTTCATCATCAGTTTCTTAAAGTTATTATTTTCGATATGTCTCTTATAATGTAGTCGAATGACAAAACTTTTCATACCGAAGAAACCTCGAACTGCCTTTATGTCAAGTACTTGTACAAGTATGAACTTATAAATGTCATTCGTACTATTCAAATGACTACTGCATTTGATAGACTGTTACAAGCGCCGCGCGGTGGCCGCGGCAGTGTATGCGCTATCTGTAACCGACGGATGTGTCTCGGGATAGCATCTCGTCGCTTCCGCCCATTTATCTGCCAGTCTATACCCCCCTCCCACTAAGCCCCTCAACGAATAAGCCCCCCTTGGACAAGCGACCATTGGTAAACGATCGATATGTGCCATCATCTCCAGGTGTTACTCAACAATCACCAATCTCTTTTGAGATAATTAAAGAATCAAATAAGGTGTCAATGGGATCTAGTTGAAGGCAATTTACCCTAATATTATTTGCCATCTACTTTCGGTTACATCACCGGATATGCAAAATATTATTAGATTCAAAAAAATATCAAACCATCATATTGCCTAGGGTCGGCGCAACGGGTCTTTGTTCACATAGCTCTATGGTACGTCATCCCAGTGATCACTCCCTTCTTGCCCTTAAAAAAATGTCAATAAACATCAGAAAATCCGAAAGGCAAATTTAAAATTTTGATTAATTAATTTTTTTTAGCTTCAGGTTGATTACTTACTTGTTATGTACAGAGCGATAGGAATTACATTTCTCAATATTTCCATTTTCAAGCACATCGAAAAGTCTTCGCTGTTTTGAATCAACTTGTTACTCAATAGTATTCCCTCTTAACACGTTCTTTGTAAAAGAACTTCTAAATAAGTATGTGAAATTACATACTTTTCATTATCATGGCCAGAGATACCGGTTTTAAATAACTAACGGTTAATTCAATGTTAGAATTGGAGAAAATCACAAGTGTCTGTCGGTCAAGGCCTGCTAACAAAGCGCATTTTCGGTGACAGCCAATGATTGGCCTCACAATAGACTTCATTACTGAATTATCCGCTCAATTGCTATAGAATTATGAACCTTAATGGCTTACATTTACAATTTATAGGGAGATTCAAATGTTTATTTTCTTTTTTATATTACTTGCACACGTCAAATGGCCAGTGATAAATTGAATAGGAACTCTTTGATCGAAATTATCCAATTTATTTTTTTGTTGAGCATATGTCGTTCTCTAAGACGGATTTTGTAATTATTTAAAACGTTTTTTGTTTATTTAGAAATGATTGACATTGTACAATGTAAATGTACGTGAAAATATATCATAGATGAAAATTTTTCGTAAACTTTGGATACACTAAAATTGTGGCTTTCCTAATGTCAATTATATAATGACCTGCTTTCGATTGGCGATGAAATTTGGTACATAAAACACAGTCTGAAAGAACATATAGGCTATCTATGATCTCGGAAATGTAAATGGTTTTGTATTATACGTAAGATTAATACTGCACAGACGAAGTCGCGGGCAAAAGCTAGTGATAAATAAAATAATTGTCAATAATCTACGTACACCTAATCAATTACACTGTTACATTTTGAGTACACCCACGATACTAAACATGACCAACAATTGACCAAGCAATTGGTCACCAACATCGCTCATAATTCTTAACGGACATCCACGTTGGACACATCAGTCGTGACGCTTCAAACATTCGGAAGCTCCAGTTCGACACGACCGATGTTTTTTTTCCTGTTCACCGTATGAATACGGTAATTTGTGCCTTTTTATTCCTTGGATTTTATGTCATTAGCCGCATTAAAACGATCGTTTATGTCTAAACGTCCGACAGAGAGACCGTAGACCGTAGACATGTGTCATTTAAAATGCGATTAGACTTTTTAAAGGTTCTTTAACGTCTATAGGTTAAATTAATGTTTTAAATACGTTCTTCTTCTGTTATAGTTAATCTTCGCTAAACTGCAGTTTTGAATTTGTGTTGTTTTAGGTACACAAATTGGTTTTGATTCTAGTTTAAAAGTTCGTAGAATGTCTATCAGTCATAACTGCTACACGAATGTTCTCTAGTACTACAGCATTCCTATTTCTTTATAGACTTTCGACTGGGTTGTGTCTGTCCCTGTTTACACCTTTACGTTAGGCGCGTGATAGTTTATTTGTCGTCCAAAAGCAGCGTTGACCGGACGCGATTCGCGAGCGTGGCGCCGCGGAGAATGCGCGCCGTGGGAACACAAGCATCCGCCACTCTCTACCGCGCAGTGACATGCATTTCTTACTACGATTTGATATACAAGTGATTTGTTTACGTTATGAGCTACAATTACTTTTGTGTATGTAAATGAAAGCGATATTTTAATAACCAATGTAAAAAGGATAGAGATTAAGTGGAAATGATAATGTTGGTGTTAGAGATGTAGATTTTATTATATGTTTAATGACATCAAGTATAAAAATACAAATGTATGAAAATGTATTTGGTTAAAAATAAATAAAAAAGTGTTATGGCGAGACGCCGTTGATCAGGACCTGCGCGAGCTAGATTCGATCGGCTGGCAGGCAACGACGCAGGAGAGACGACACTGGCGCTCTCTTGTGTCGGAGGCCAAAACCCACTTTGGTCGCTGCGCCAACGCAGTAAGTAATGACGCTACCGAAGAAGAGTTTATCAACATCAAAGAAAGAAAGACATTAGTTATACTTATTTTTAATGAGGAAATCAAACAAAATTTTCACTTAATCAGATGTAGAAATCACTATTTTAAGGGAAGAATTTCTTGCAGTCTTCTAATTTATATGTTTTTGTATGCCCTACAAGACTAGAGTAACTTTACGTGATAATTGCTACAACAGTTAATAGACCAATTAAGTAAAACTTAACACAGACCCGTGTAATAAACAAAAGACAATTTAAACGACAAAACGAGACATTGTTATAACCTAGATCCATGATAGTCATGTAAATGCGGATAGTGAAATGGGTATATCGTGTACAATTCCTATCGTAGCGGGCGTCAGATCGGGCCATGCGCCTGCGCACCGCGCATACTGATCGCCCGGCGGACGTTACTCCGGCTACGTCACGGGTCTGCTACTCTCTGACTATATAGTCTGTGCGCATTGTCTGTGAGAAAACTATGTCAGCGATCACATCCTGCTTTTGTTTTGTACATAAGAAATTCCATTGCGTTCACATCTTGTTGAATTATGAATCGATTAGCTTTCGCCCGCGACTCCGTCCGCGTGTTATTAAAAAAACAGAACTTAGTAACCTATGTGTTCAAATTATCCTCTACATCTATGCCAAATTTTATAGAGATCCGTTCAGTAGTTTAGGCTACAAACTAACAAACACCATCCATCCATCTAAGCTTTCGCATTTATAATATTAGTAAGATTAGACCAATAGTAAGTTCCACTTGGGCGGCAACTTACTCTTTAAACACTTTAAGCTTCATATTAAAAATACCTGTTATTTATGCAAATGACAACAATTTAAAGATGCACCGTATCACATTGCATAACTAAATATTTCTACGAGAGTGTTGGTATTTTGTAAGTACAGTCTACCGATTGCTTTTAACGCGATTAACCATAAAGACACAATTTAAATTGATTCTATGAATACAAAGTATAAGTAATAGGTAGAGATACAACACTACTGATGACCGCCCCTCATCAGATTTCCGGATAAAACCTACATTGTATGAAATATCACATGTTTTTACAAGTAAGCATTTTGTAAATGGGTTGCCTAATCCTAGCCTGGCAAGGCAAGGTTAGAGTCAACTTTTGAAGGCAAGACCCCTCATCTCGGCCTATCATGCTAACAAGTACACAAATCAATAAAGGTCTAAAAGTTAAGTATTAAAGTCTAATAGTAACATTCATATAAACATTTTCAAGTAAAAGCTTAATTCAATAAAATTGTCAATGCAATACAAACTTATAATATAAATCAGAAGAAGTCATATTTATCGTCAACGACTTACCGGCTCAGCTGTAAGATGCGCGGTGGTTTTGTGCGGTAACAAAGCGAGATCCGCGGAGAGGTTGCGCGAGAGCATCGGGCCCTGTAACTTAAAGTTTAAGTTAAGCTCCGCGGGCAGGGCGCGGGGGGCGGGGCAGCGCGCCGCGCGGCAGTCGTCAGCGGACGCCCGCGGCGAGAGGTCGATGCGCAGCTCGTATCGGTGTCGATGCACAGTCGGTGTTCGTGCGCAGTCGGTGTTGAGTGCAGTGCGCATACAGTGCCAACATAGTGCGTGTCTGTGGGCAGGCGGCATGCGCGAGGCGCGCGCGTCGCGGCGCCCCGCGCCTATCTGATCCGATGCGCTGCGCGCTTGTCTCGCGGCCGGCGCTGCTGGTCGTTCTCGCCCTCGCCTGCATGCTGCGCGTATGTCTTTATTAACTAAATTTAATATAGCCTTACTCACAGATAAATTACCTTTCTAGCGGTGAAAGAATTTTTAAAATCGGGCCGGTAGTTTTTGAGTTATTTCAATACATAATTACATTAGTATAGACTAGTCTGCTTCAACTAGTTAACTTCCTCAATAAAATGTGCTACACCATCAAGATCTATGATACGTTTAGTAACCCATTAACGTGTGTACTCTCAATTTCTGCCTCACTTAGGTAGTTTACTAGACTAAAGTTTAGTGTACATCAGCTTTAGGATCTTAACATCGATAATCAAGGCGATTTTACGATAAGTTTTACATCTGTAGCTTAACAAAAAAGCTTACATTTCAATGTTCTCAAATATTGTAAAGCTCCTCGGAGGATAAGATTTATTATATTGATGTTCGTGAATAACTTACGCTAGGTCTAATAGGTGATAAATTTTTTTTTCGGTATTCTTATAGTTACCAAAACATTTTCGTCTTCCATATAAATGTAATATTGTAAACTTTATGAAACAAAAATTCATGAGGAAGAATGTTCTGTGAAACGTTGGTACAATACAATTGTCGTAGTGTTTAAGAAAACATTACTGGCCAGTGTTTTTTTTATTATCTTTATTTGAAACACATGTGCAACATTTAGAAACAAACGGATAAATATGAACAAACTATAACGATAGTAATAAACTAAATTATTAACGCAAGGCCCAGGCAGCAGAGTCCCGTAGCGAATAGCGTACTGGCCAGTGTTAAGTATACCAATTTGTATGCAGAACTACATATGTGCCTAGTGAAATAATTTCAAATTTAAATTAGGATTACATTAATAGGCAGGCAAGATTTTTTTTTAAATTATAATTGCTAATTGATGGATTCATTTAAATTTAGCATATAAAAGATACAATTTTAATAATCATATAGTTTTTTAAGGTTTATGCCGTTTCTTGTTCGACCGTGAACTTCGATAGCCGAAAAATATGCATAATACATTATGTGTTTCTAAATATACGAGTACTATGTAATCTATACTTATATAATAAAGAGTAAACACACACTACTTCGTGTCGTAGGATGTCAACAATCGCAGTATATTTTTGAATAGTTATATCTTAAATAAAAAGCCCTACACTTACGACACGCTTTAGGCTATATATTTTCACGCTATTAAACTTAAGGGATAAGTAAAGTTGAAAAATCATTCATGTGGGAAAGGGACCATAAACTTCAAGCTGCCAACATAAAGGACGCAAAGTTGTCATTTATGCATTTGAATTTCGACAGTTCACAAATGTAAACAATTTTTTATTTTTTTATAATTCCACGCGGATGAAGCCGCGCGAGAACAGCTAGTACGATTGGATGTCTTTAAATAACTATTGAGATTAGTGTTTTTTATGTTTAATTATTAATAAATTATACAATTTATAGTTTAAACGTATAGACAGGTCAACTGATTTATTATTATTAGCATAAATATTTTAAATGAGTTTTATTAATACCTTATAAATTTTAATTTACTAATTCTTTGCAGAATAAAAAAAATGTGATAATATAAATGAATTTAATAAATTACTTAAATTGAAACACTTTATTGAATATTTACATACATTATTTAACTACGTCAAAAGTTCACAGAAGACAAGATATAGTCCGCTAATAGCACGCGCACCTTATTCAAAACTGTCTCACCACTGTTTAGTCGCGCTTTGATTCCTAAAAGCTTTTTTACAGTGGTAGTGCCCGCTTTAACATCTTAGCACGAATGGGCCGGCACGCCCGGTGTAATACCACGACCACACAGAAGAGAGGCGTGAAATGGAAGCAATTCCGTATTTCGTCTGATGAGTGTGGTGCCGAAGGCCTAGTTTAAGTCCCTTTCTCTTTACTATCCTTTTCTTATAAGGAGAGGTTGGGAAGGGGACGTGGATTTGACGGTGGAGGAGATGCATAGGAAGGGGAATTATCCTCTTTATGTGCATCTCCTCCTCCGTCGTATAAGGGTGGGCAACGCATCTGCAATTGCGGATGTCTATGGGCAGCGGTCGCTTCACCATTATGGCGGATTCTAGTGTCCGCTTGCTCGTTTGCCACCTTATGTTATAAAAAAAAGCTTATATGGTGGTGCGCACACTACTCGATTTGTTGTAAATCTAAACAGTTAAATTGGCTGCGAAACAATCGACAATCGTACAACAGTTGTGCGAGAGTTTAGTCAAAGGTAGCGCCAACTCTATCGTTATTAAATTTTGCCGATGGTGATGAGTAAGCTCAGGTAGTGGATACGCGGGTCGCCTGCGCATTACATAGTCATAGTAGTTACTGTTAATAAGAATATTATAAAATGTCCGTGACCAGGAATTGGGAACCCCTGACCTACAAAAAATATTGGCTGATAATTGGCTAATCTGTTTTAGTACATACTTAACTAGCTGTTGCACTCGACTTCGTCCGCTTGGAATTAAAATATATAGCCTATGTCACTCGTTGATAACGTAGCTTTTTGACGGTCAAAGAAGTTTTGAATTCGGCCCAGTAGTTTTTAAGTTATTTCAATACATACAAAAATCCAAATATACAAATCTTTCCTCTTTACAATATTGGTATAAATGTAAGGTTTTTTACAGTAACGATTTTATTAAAGGATCGAAATTTTGTATTATTTTTATCTTCTCTTTAGTAAAGTTTTTTTTTTTTTTAATATAGTCATTAAATTTAATTTATGCTTAACAGTCTCATTAACTTCGTGTTATTGTTACATTAATCAAAGATTTTATATGTTTATCATCTTGGATGTCATGTTTGAAATACAATACAGTCGAAAATCTAGTTTATTAGTTGCAAAGAAACTTTTTAATACGGATTCTTTACAAATGTATTTTGCATTCTAATTGGAATTATTCCGTTAGTTTGTAATAGCAATTTAAGTTATTATTTTCTCCTCCTTCAGTGCAATTATATCATTTGTATTATAATTTTAAATTTTAACCAAACCAGTTGAGCAAAAATGACTAATACTACTTTCGCACGTTGTGTTCCGCGTGAAAATAAAAAAAAAAAAAAAAAATGTAGCCAACGTTCCAGACTATCCTCTACATCTATGTCGAGTTCATCGAGATCCTTTCAGCAGTTTAGGCTACAAACTGTGACAAACATACATGTAAACTTTCGCATTTACTATTATTTTGTACTAGCTGTTGTCCGCGACTTCGTCCACGCAATATTAAGATAAAATGTAGGCTATAATATGCCCGTCTATGTCAGCTACCCTTCAGTTAAAGTCCGGTCGAAATCGGCCCAGTCGTTTCGGAGATTATCCGGGACAAATGCGGCTTGCGGACCGACGGACAGACGAAAAAATTTCGTTATCAGTAACGCAAATACCTCATTTTCCCGATATATGGCAATTTTCTTTTGATATTACAGACACTCCAATTTTATTACATGTATAGATTCCGCAATTCCGAAGAATATTGTCTTACTTATTATGCGGGCGTTTGATCACAATAGTTAAAAGCTTGTAGCGATGCTAGGGAGCCGTACGATATGGTAATGCTGGTCATTGTTAGTCGTTAATAGATAACATCACGTGTTGACGGCGCGACACTTGTCTTCGCGCGACAGCAGAAGAATTAAATTCGCTACCCACTTAAAATAATATGTCTTACAGAAAACAGTCACAGTCAACGTAAGAATTCTAATTTAGTGCATAAGTATTTTTATTACGTTAAATAACCTCTACAACGTAATTCCACATGTTTTTGGGCGGGAAAAATAGACGCTAACAGTTTTGGGTACATGCATGTTGTTCTGTCCAGTTTTCAGTCTATCAGTATTGTGAGTGTCATATATTTCACAAGTGGGTAGGGAATATACTTCCTCGACTGGACGTGCACGTGTCATTTGTTTTTGACCGTTTATATTGCTGATCAAATCCAGAATTGGAATAATACGATATCAGTTACACTATCAAGAGTAAGATATTATTGAAATATTTCTGCATTACTTTTAAATGTTTAATTCAAATTTAAGGTTTTTTTTATAACAAAGGTGGCAAACGAGCAAGCGGCCACCTGAAATCGCCAAAATGGCGAAGCGACCGCTGCCCATAGACATCCGCAATTGCAGATGCGTTGCGTACCCTTATCCGACAGAGGAGGAGACGCACATAAAGGGGATATTTCCCGTTCCTATGCATCTCCTCCACTGTCAAATCCACTTCCTCTTCCCAACCTCTCCTTATAAGAAAAGGGTGGTAAAGAGAAAGGGACTTAAATTTGGCCTCCGGCACCACACTCGTCACACGAAACACGGAATTGTTTTCATTTCACACCTGTCTTCTGTGTGGTCGTAGTATTACATCGGGCGTGCCGGCCCATTCGTGCTTAGATGTTAAAGCGGGCACTACCACTGACAAAAGTCTTCGTAGAAATCTTCGTATAACTACGAAGTTATTTTTATCTGTGAAAGACACTAAAGTAGAGAAAACCTTGTAGAGTAACGCATTGTTTTACTTTCATTGCTGAATCTTTTGTTTATAACAATAGAAACATCATTTCCGCCATTTAAATTTGTTTTTTGGTTAATAAGTATTGAAGTAAAAAAATATATATACTAAGATACATGGTATTCCGACTTCTTTTCACATAATTGTAAGTGAAAAGTTCTACAACCATTTTATCAGAATAGTAACTTTTTATTGGATTCCTAATTTGCAAAGCTAATCGGATAACTAAGGAATTACACAAAAAACTAGATTAAACTAGAAATAAAGACAATAAACAATATTAGAATTGATGTTAGATTTATAAAAGATTTATGTTTTTAATATTCAAAAACGTGACGTATTCTGAACAAAATTCTATGCAAAAATGTTAACGTCAATTTGTTATCTAAAAGGGGTCGTGAGAAACAATGTTTTTACTCTATTCGCTTGATAATGGATTTGTAATCTTCTAATAAATTATGTTTATAAGACTAGCTGTTTCCGTGC